CTGTCAGAGGGGTCGGGGCTCAAGAGATGGGGGTCAATGCCCCTGACCTTCCAGAGAGCTATTTTTTAGCACGGGAGGCCCAAAAAACCAGATAATAGCTCTGGGATAGGTTTTTAAGTCGCGTGTTATTTTTTAGCCCTCCTGGAAGGTCAGGGGCGGACGGGGGTCAGCCAGCGCACCGGATCCTGCAGGATCCTGCGAAGACCCCCTCTGGCTGACCCGGGTCAGCGAGCCGCTCGTGGCCGCGAGGCGGCCGCGCAGATTGGCCGACCCGGGTTTGCGAAGACCCGCGTTGCAGTCTTTTTTCTTGCATTGCAGTTTTTTGGTTTCCTGCTGACCCGGGTCTGGAATGACCCGGGTCAGAAGATCCCCGAAGGGGGGGGGCGGGCACAGCCGTCGAGTAGGGGATCAACTACAGCATTGATGGACCCCGAGATTGAGTTCTCGTCGCAGCTGGCAAGGGAAAGGTAAAACGTTCGTGGACTGCTGCGTGGTCCTTCGGCGATTCGACGACAGGATCCATTCTGGGGTGCATCAGTCCTGCATCTGACCTCCGACTTGCAGCCGGACGCAGCGGCAGGGACGCAGCCGGACGCAGCTTCTGAGAAGGCCTTCGCCTTCTCACTTCCCCCCCTTGCTCTGATGGGCTTGTTTCCCACCACCACCACCATATATAAGTTGGAGAGGGGAAGGGAAGGAGGACGAAGAGGAGAACAGGCCCACCATGCTCGCCGCCGGGTCAGCGGGGGGGGGCAGCGGGCGTAGCGGGACGCAGCTGCAGGGACGCAGCACTTGGCATCGCTCGGACGTGTGCATTTTTTCTCCGCGAGGACCATCGAGGAGCATCTTTGATCATCTAGCGAAAAATACGAGCACGGACTCGAAGAATGCACGGGGAATGGACGTCCGAGCGACGGCGAGAGCACCGCCCGCGAGAGCTCCGCCCTCGCCCTGCGTGGGCCCCTCCTGGGGCCCTCGGCCCGCCGCCGCTCGGGCGATGCAGCGGGGGGCGCCCCAGGGCGGGGCATCCCCGGCGTGCCCCTTGTCGCAGGCCTGGAGGTTGCCACCAGCACCAGTATCGGCGGCGTGCCTCCACCGAGGGAGCAAGATCCCGATCTTCAAGGGCATAAAGACACGCCCCCACCCTGGTTTACGAGGCGCTGTGCGCTGAAACTCCTGTGGGCTGACAGGGTAAACCCTGCGTAATGTGCCGCGCCCTGGCGGCTCTAGGTTTTGGGGGTTCCCATGAGGTTTACAGACCGCGCACTTGTAACCCAGGATAGGGTCGTTGTTTCATCCCTCAAAATCTCGGTGATGGTGGCAACATTCTGGCTTCCAAGAGCGTCCGAAGTATCCGCAAGGGCTTCGCCCCATGCCGCCGGCCCCCTGTCTCGGATACTGGGAGATGCAACAGCTAAATCATGAGGTCTGGGCGCCGCCGTGAGGCAGTGTCGGGACCTGTTTGCTGACCCTACGGATCTGCGTCACGGGTGCCACCCAAGTTTAGACGTGTGGCGAATCCCTCGTGTTTTTGGAATCTGACCCTGCCGATCTGCGTGAGGGGCGCAGCCGAACTTCAGAAATGTGGCAAATCCACTGTGTTGTTGGACCCTGGCCCTGCCGATCTGTGTGAGGGGTGCCGACGAATTTTAGCAATGTAGCAAATCCACTGTGTTGTTGGACCCTGACTCCGCCGATCTGCATGAGTGGTGCTGCCGGATTTTAGGAATGTGGCAAATCCCATGTGTTTTTGTTACCCTGACCCTGCCGATCTGCGTGAGTGGTGGTGCCGCCGAATTCCAGGAATGTGGCAAATCCCATGTGCTTTTGGACCCTGACCATACGGATCTGCGCGAGGGGTGCGAGCATGTTTTTAGAAATGTGGCAAACTCCCTTTGTTTTTGGACCCTGACGCCGCCGATCTGCGTGAGGGGTGCCACCGAATTTCAGAAATGTAGCAAATCCCATGTGTTTTTGGACCCTGACCCCGCTGATCTGCGTGAGGGGTGCCAGCAAATTTTAGAAGTGTGGCAAATCCTATATGGTTTTGCACCCTGACCCCGCCGATCTGCGTGAGGGGTGCCAGCAAATCTTAGAAATATAGCAAATCCTTTGTGTTTTTAGACCCTGACCCCGCCGATCTGCGCGAGGGGTGGCAATTTTTACCCACCCCAGCAATTCAGAGCACACGCTCAGGGCGTGGTGAAAATGCTTGTTTTGGGCCTCCCCCCCTCGCGCGGTCCATCAACAAGGAACAGTAAGCAGCAAGAAGCAGAGCTGTAACAAGGAACAGTAAGCAGCAAGAAGCAGAACTGTAACAGTGGAAACTGGAAGCTGCAATTGGTACAGGAAACTGCGAAGCTTCGGCATACAGCCTGGTGGCCCCACAAGGGGGCCGGCGGATTACCACCAACGCCGAAATCGAGGATCATCTTCTCCTTGTTGAGGCAACCCCCTTGTGTTGGTGTTGGTGCCAATTTCCAGGCCTCCAACTTTGTCAGGTCACACGGCAGTGCATCGCGTCTGGGGGGGGGGGGGGGGAGCGATGCACGGGGGGCGGCGAGGGTTGCACAGAAAGGGCCCGTGAGGGCCCCTTCGGGGCCCTCTAGGATCCACCAAGGGGGCCTTCAGGGCCCGGGAAGGGTAGCTTCCCCCTCCCCATGCATCGTCTCCCCATTGAGCGACGCCCAACACCCGAGGGGGGGCGCAAAGGCAATCGCGGTTCGCGCGTGGCGGTCTGGGCGGGTCGTCGAACCCAGAAAATATGGAAAAATATGGAGAATCTTTTCATTTGTGTGTTTTTATTTGTGTGTCCCAGGGCCCCTTCAAACTACACCCAAACCCACGCCCACGCCAGAGCCCAAGCCCACACCCGCGTTCACACACACACACATACCGTGCCAAGGGGGGGCGGAGGACCCTTCCTGAGGCTGCTGATGCTGCTGCGCTCCTCCTCCGCACCCACCACAGGCCCGCTAAGAGTCTGAAGTCGTGAAGCTCGGCGGCGCGCCCGGGGGGGGACGTGAGAGGAGCCGGGCGGGCCTTCTCAGAAGGCTCAGACGCCCCCCCGGCCTTTGAGAAGGTCTCTGAGACTTTCCTGGAGGCACAAGGAGCGTCTCAGGAAGACGGGGGGCTTCTGAGAAGCCCCGCCTTCTTCTGAGAAGGCTTTCTCCTTCGCACTTCCCCCCCTCGCTCGCCGCCGAGAAGCGATCGCCACTGAACATGGTTGTAGATTCTAGGTCTTCGGGCGCGCTCACCATTCTGCGAGGTGGTCTTCCGGAGCGGCTGCCTCCGCCGGCGAGCCGCTGCGTCTCGTCGGGGGCGCGCGGGGCGGCACGCCCTCTGTGGAAGTTGTGGGAGGTGTTTGCGTTTGTGATCGTTTTTGTCATGCATCGTTTTGCCGATCGGCGCGGGCCCTCGCACCCCCCCCTCCCCCCCCCATGGAGTAGTGGCGTGGGAGGGGCCTCTTGGGGGCGTCTCCTCTTGGGGACTCTTGGCGCCTCCTGGGGGCCTCTCAGGCCAGGGGCTCGGAATGTCCGTTCGGGTCCCCCGTCTGGGCACCCTCTCAGACTCTCAGAGCCGTCTTGGGGGCCTCTTGGGCCGTCTTGGAGGCCTCTTGGGTCGTCTTGGGGCCCTCTTGGGTAGTCTTGGGGCCCTCTTGGAAGCCGAATCGGCGAGAATCCCCACATCTGTCAAAACCAAATGACAATCAATGCTTTTTGCCTTACGGGGGGGGGCCCTCGTGAGAGTGTTTTGGAGGCCTCTTGGGGCGTCCTGGAAAGGTCGGGCCGTATTGAGACAACTCTGGCGTCTTGGACCGATGATAGTTCGGCGATTCTGGGCCTTTCTGGACCGTCTTGGGGGCCTCTTGGGTCAGTCTTGGTCCTTCTTCGTGGGTTTGGAGCTTTAGGACCCCCCGGGGAGGAGGTGACATTCTGACCCGGGACTTGCCTTGTGTCCCCCCAGGATACCCCCAGGGGGAACCTGGGACCCCAGCGGGACCCTCCCTGCGGGGAAGAGATCAAAGGGAAGGGGTTTTCCCTTCGATTCAACTACGACGACGTTGATGTTTAATGCTGCTTTGGCTGGCGCGTTTTGGGAGGATATCCCAGATAAAGGGGGGAGCGAGTGGCGACGGCGGCGGCGGCGGCGACGACGACGAACGGAAGAGCGTCTTCTACACACCGACAGGGTCGGCGGATTCTATAGGATTCCCGGATCCCAACATACCTTAGCCACCTTCCTACTTCAAGGATGGAGTGGCGCCGTCCCTCCTCTTTCAGAGACGGGCGGAAGTCCAGCCTACTGCCAACGCCCTCCTACTTCATGGCTCTACCCTTGGCATCGCTCGGACGTGTGCATTTTTCCTTCGGCGAGGGCCATCGAGGATCATCCCTGATCATTCGGCGAAAAAACCACGCACGAAACCGAAACAAACACAGGGAATGGACGTCCGAGCGATGGCCAGGATACATCTTCGATGCATCATCAATGCGGCGCGATTTTCCGACGGATCTGCTCGGACCCCATCTGGGAGGCCTCTATTGACTCATCGGACAGAGAGTTGCCCCGTCTCTGCGACTCGCTGGTTTATTCTCACAGGCAATTCTGCTAGTTGGCACCTGGCCGAACGAAGAGGCCAAGGTTACCCTCTGGAATGCTCACCTTCATGGGCGCGGCGGCCAGCGCTAAAATTTGCGAGAACAGTTTGCAAGGTTCGCCGACGAGTCCTCCCTTCGGATGCAGCTCCTGGGAGGTTAAAATTATCATCGGCAACCGGTCTAATCTGGCCCATCCCGCCAGTCCATTCCGATTAACCCCGTTTAGTATTGGGCCAGATCCCCCTGGGCCAGCGCAATGACATCTCAATCTGGCCGCATATAGCCATCAGTCGTTCTTGCCACGACCTTCCAGGAGTTGCTGATTGTTGTGCCAGCCTCCAGGTTGCCTCTCTCGCACCCGTCCGACGGGAGGGACGGCGGGAGGAGACCGACCCCGCAGGTGGCCATCAATACTCCGACGTTGAAGGCCGCTGCCGCCCCAGAGAGAGGTGGATGTGCAGAGAGAGTTACCAGCCTGGAGCATATCCCCATCCCTATGCTGGGCACCTCCTCATCACGATGCCAATCTTAGGGATTCCCTTATTTTGTGGAGGGCGAATCCCTAAGATTGTCGTCGCCTTTTGGCGTGCCAATCTTAGGGACAGGGATACGTTCGAGGCTGGTAAGGGGTGGATGTACAGAGAGAGGTAGACGGAGACGTGCGGAACAGACAGACGACAGAGCTGTCCAGTTGCTTGCGGCAAACCCCGCCGCCGCGAGGGCAGCAGGGCAGCGTGAAGAAATGCGCATAGCGGAGCTTCTCTGGGGCCACTTGGTAGCCTCCAAGGAGCCTGTGAGGTCCGCTTGAGAGGCCGTCAGTGGTCTGAAGGGGGAGCTCTGGGAGGCCTCTTGGTGGTCCTCTGGGCCTCTCAGAGGCGTCGTCGGGACGGCTGGGCGCTTCTTGGCGGCATCTTTGGGATCTCGGAGGCAATCCTGTCGGCCAGCTCGGCTTTTCCCTTTCTTGGGCCCCTCTTGGAGCCTTCCCTTCTCGGGGGCCTCTGACTCGTGGGCGGCCTTGGGCCCCCCTCGAACGTGCTGAGGGTCCTCTCGGGCCGTCTGGGAGCCCCCCCCCTGGGCCGTATTGAGGACCTTCCTGGCCGCCTCGGGCTTCCAGGAGCCAGACGCGGCCAGCAGACGAGGCCAGCGCGTTGAAATGCGTCAACATCTCCAGGCAGCAGCAATGCGTTCTGCTATCGAGATCCTCTTGAGCGTCCTCTTTGAGCTCCATGGGGCCGCCTGGGGTGTCTCTTGGGCACTCTTGTGGCTATCTTGGGTCATCTCGGGGCCTCCTTTCGGAAGCGGCAGTGCTGGGGCGAGCTTGGTTATCTTGATGCGTTTTTGTTGTCTTGGAGCGTTGTTGGGCCTGCTTCGGTGTTCAAGAGCCCCCTCGGGGGATCCTCTTGTGGGCCCTCAGTGTTGTCAATTCGATTTGAATGTGATAGTTGTTCGAAGTCTCGGAATGTGACAGATTGTTGAATCATTATTGATCTGCTGTGTCATATTGAATGTGACTTGTTCGATTTGAGTGTGACAGATTGTTGATGGTGAAACTTTGAATTCGTATTGATCTGCTCCAGAGAGGCGGGAAGATGCTTGGAGGATGCGCGCATGCCCGGGATGGGTCGGCCCAAGAGCGCATGAAAGGATCGCAGCCAGACAGCACAGAAGCATTCCAACGCGCCCCAATGTGCGAGTAGGGGGTCGACTACAAAATTGATTTACCCCAAAATTGATTCTCCATCGAATCTACGACGAAAACCTAGAATGTTCAGCAATCTGCTGAGACTTCTGCATATTTTCTCAGATTTCGACGAGAAACCAATGTTGGGGTAAATCAATTCTGTAGTCGATCCCCTACTCGAAATGTGCACAAGGCACCCTGGCGGATGAAGCACGTGATCGCGGAAGAGAGGAGCGCTGTCTCGACAGGAGGGAGTCCACCGCCGACGTCCCCCCCCACATCCGCCGCCTCGGAGTCGTGCTCTGGCAGCTCAGGGTTGCAGTGGTGGACCCGGACGTGGACCTCTCGAAACTACGCACCGCCCCCCGTGTGACCGACGCAGGATCCCAGGAGACGTGGGCATGGCAGCGGTTGGCGACGGCAACGACGACAGCGGCGGCGGCGGCGGCGACGCGGAGCCGCTCGTCTCATTCCTAGAGATTGGCACCAGCACCAATATCGGCGGTGTGCCTCCACAGAGGGAAGAAGATCCCGATCTCGGTGATGGGGGTAATTTTCTGGCTGCCAAGGTGACCGAACCACCAACACCGAAATCTAGGATCACCTCCCCCCTGTGGAGGCAACCCCTTGTGTTGGTGTTGGTGCCAATTTGCAGGCCTCCAAGCACGGGCCCCCTGGTGGCGGCACCGCTTTCTGCAGCGGGGGCGGCATGCGGGCAGCGGCACGGTGAGAGGACGCTTTGGTTCTTTGCGTCGCTCAGGCGTGTGCATTTTTTCCCGGCGAGGACCTTTGTGGGCCCCGGAAACGGCAGGGCCGTTTTTTTCACAATTTCCGAGAAAATGTCCATTGAAAATGGAAACGGCAAAAAAAACGGCAACCGGAAACGGCAAAAAAACGGCTCCAGGATGGGAACCGGAGCCAGAACCGGTCAAAAAACGGCGACGGAACCGGTAAAGAAACGGCGTCGGAACCGGCAACAAACACGGCAAAACGGAACCGGTATCAAAAACGGCCCTGTCGTTTCCAGGGCCCACGAAGTTCTTCCATCCCCCTCCGTTCTCTCATACACCTCATTGTTCGTTCATCCTCCTCCACCGTGCTTCTCTTGGAGCCTCCATGTCGCACCAGACCCCCCAGCCTCCTCCACCAGACCTGCGTTGGTGCCTTGCTCCGAGTCGTTGGCGAAAACCATGTCCGTATCCGTCTCCGTTGCCTCGCGGGCCAGGCCCTTGGGCCGCGACCCCGCGGATGCGGGGTGGGTTGTTCGCGCATGCCTCGCGCGGAGCGTATGTCAAGCAGTGGCGAAGCGTCCTGGCGTGCCTGTAGGCGGTGGCGGGCGGCTGCGCGCACCGAGGGCACGCGAGGTGTGGCGAGGGCGGCGTGCTGCACCGCCTGCAGTCCCTCCTGCTCCAGCAGAGGCTTAAGTCGGGCCTGTCCCCATACAGGGGGATTTTCGACGAAAGATAAGGAATACCCCCAACATAGTCCAAAAACAGTCCCAAAAATAGTCTGGGGACTATTTTTGGAGTAGTTTTTGACCTTCTTGGGGTAATTTGGTGTATTTTCTATTTGTCGTCGAAAGTCCCCCTGTAGGGGGACGCGCCCGACTTAAGCAGAGGCCTGCGTGGAGGCCTCCAGCAGCCGAGATGGGTCGGAAGCCGGGCAAGGGCTGCTACATTCGTGGCTGCTAAAATCGACCTCTGGGAAGTTGTCTTCGTCCTTCCGGGAAGAAGCCCGTTGACTGTTTCGCGTGCCGCGCCTCATTCCGGGAAGTTGTTTTTTCCTTCCGGGAGGGCCGTTTTAGCAGCCACGGTTTTAGCAGCCATCGCTCAGCTTTCGAATGAGGGCTCCCCTCCTCCTTTCACTCTTCTTCCTGGATTCCCCTCGCCTTACTGGTGGACCGAGATGTCAGATCGACGCCGGTTCGGAGAGGGCGCCTTAGTGTTTTTGGTGTTCGTCAGATGCTTTTGTGTGCTTCCTGGGGAAGGGTACACTCAGTGATATTCTGATTTGGGGGGGTTTGACCCGCTGAGTCTCTCATGTTCTTGAAGGAGGGGTACCGTATCCTGCTACTCAGTCCTCACGTACAGGGCGTCCTCACGTACAGGGCATATTCTCAGGGCTGCCCGCTGCTGCATTTCCGAAACCAGCGGCAGCCACTTTCTTTGTTCGCATGTGGCGTCTTAGCTGCGCCCGTGGCCTGGAGAGGGGTACCAGGTACGGGGATTGCACACTTAGTTTGAAGACGGGGTCGTGTGACCGGAAATCCATTGGAACACCCGCCCTGGGATGGTCGTATTTGTACAGTCAAGTTGCGCATTCCACCCAATTCGGCAGGGTTGATTGTGGTCTTCCTGGCCGTGGACCCTGAAATAACAATGAAGACCCGACGCACCAAGCCGTCTCGGGTGGGCAGCGGATCACGGCCGACGTGGTGTGGTCTTCTTACCGTTCCTTCATCTGTTGTTGGGAAGGCGTCGTCTTGTTACAGTCTTCCGGCTTCACTTCCCCTCCTGGTCTCCCATCCTAGGTCGCACCCTCCCCTTGCTTAGATGCTCGCGCTGCTCGCGGCAAAGGCCTGGGCCAGCGCGGCTGTCTTTCTGCAACGGGGGCGGCGCGAGGGCGGTAGGGCGCGAAGGTAATCGCCAGGCGCGGTGCGCGAAGGCATGGGCCCAGTGTACGAGAGCGGCGAGGCCCCGCCCCTTCGCCGGCACCCCTCCTCCCCAGGTCGTCAAGTTCACGCTCGAGGGCTACGACAAGGCCGACAAGAAGAAGCTGATGGACAAGGCCCTGGGCGAGTGCACCGGCGCCGTCGGCGCTCGCGGGGGCGGCGGCGAGATCGGCACAGGCGACGGCGGAGAGCGGCGACAATGGCTCAGCCACGCGCAGAGGGGGGTGGGGGGAGGGGGGAGGGCTTCTGAGAAGCACCCCTGCTTCTTCGAAGGCGTGGGCCTTATCTATAGATGTAAGGCCGGCGCCTTCTAAGAAGCAGCCTGCTTCTAAGAAGCCCTCCCCCCTCCTCCCACCCCCTTGTGCGCGCCGCCAAATGGCGACGACCGCCAGACGGAGTCGATGGACCAAGGCCCGGGCGAGGCAGCCGCTGGCCCACGTCGGGCTTCGTCGGGGGGCCTCGGTGGGCTCTCCTTGGAGTTGCGGGGGGCCTCGGAGGGCCTCGGAGGGCACCGCGGATCCTCGGGGAACCTCGGGGGCTCGCGAAGCTCCGGAAACCTTCGGCAGGTGACCTGGCCCTATTTGGTAGCATTTGGGCAGGCCGTTTGTGGGTCACAGTGCCACCAGGCTCCCCGTGATGTTCGAGGCCCCGGCGGATCTCTGGATTCGCCCTCGCGTGTAGATAGTGTGCCGCTGTTATTTGCAGCGTGACATGTGGTACACGATCGGACTAGGGAGCGTGGCACAGGGATGCGACAACTACGAAGTACTGTGCCTGACACCGTTGAGGGGCATGAAGCTGGGATCCCCAGATAGGACGCCTGAGTCGCCGTGATGGAAGATCCATTCTAGATTGACTCCACGTTCGCCGCACCACAATACGGTGCACAGGTTTTGAGAAGTGATACTCAGAGGAACAAGAGGTCATGATAATGGTTATGATACGCTCCAAAATGTCGTAGAATCCTCACTGTTCCACACGGGCTGCAGAAACGAGGGCCGCCCGATAGTCTGTAACTTCCCGCAACGCATCCTGGGCCGATTGTGCCATGACGCCGCTCTCGTTCCAGCTACATCACACGGGGACAACGCGATAGGGCAATCATCGTGCCCGTCTGCAGGTGGAGCAGGTGCAGGAGCAGCAAGACGTGTATCAGGAGGGAACAAAAACACACAGACACAAATTATCGTCCACCCCCAGGAAAGTATGGGAACACATGGGGATTGGGGGGGAAGACAAAAGCCCAGAAAATATGGGAAAGTGTAGGGGAATCCTGTTACTTGTGTGTATTTGTTTGTGTGTCCCAGGGCCCCTTCATGCAGGAGCAGCAGGACGTGCAGGAGCAGCAAGACGTGCAGCAGCAGCAGCAGCAGTAGCAGCAGCAGCGCGGCGCCGCAGCGAGCGCGCGCACAGCTCCGCACAGCCGCGCGAGCGCGCCTCGCACGGCGCGCGATGCGCACGGCACACGAGGCGCCGTCCTCACCGCGTTCTGGCCGCCAGCCTTTGGGGAAGTATGCTACGCCTCCTCCACTTCCTCCTCCTCCTCCTCCTCCTCCTCCTTCACGCTCCTCCCTCCGCCCTCCGCCCTCTTCCCTCCTCCCTCCTCGCTCGCACCAGACCCCCCATCCTCCTCTACCAGACCTGCGTTGGTGCCCTGCTCCGAGTCGTTGGCAAAAGCCATGTCCGTATCCGTCTCCGTTGCTTCGCGGGCCAGGCCCTTGGGCCGCGACCCCGCGGATGCGGGGCGAGTTGTTCGCGCATGCCTTGCGCGGAGCGTATGTCAAGCAGTGGCGAAGCGTCCTGGCGTGCCTAGATGCCTACCAAACAATGTTCTAAGAACCTTTTGTTGTTTCGACGAAATGTTCTTATAACATGTTTGGCTGGGACTGTCTTGTTCCCCATATCCTAAGATGGGGTTCTTGTTATTACTTTGACGCCTCCTACTCCTCCTCCTTCCTCCTCCTCTTTTCTCCTCCCCTCCTGTCGGACTTACTCATACTCACACTTGCTCATACTCGGACTTACTCATACACAGACTTACTCATACTCATATTTACTCATACTCAGACCTACTCATACTCAGACTTACTCACACTCAGACATACTCATACACAGACTTACTCATACACAGACTTACTCACACCCAGACGTACTCATACACAGACTCACTCATACCCAGACTTACTCATACACAGTATGTCTGGGCTCAACATCCTTCGCTTGGAGAGCAGATTGTGAGGATGTCTCAGGCGGGGCGCTGGTTTCAGCACCCCTAAGGGGAGCCGCCAGGGGTGGTTGCACGGGCTCGTTCGCGGCCATTTTGTGGGGATGTCTCAGGCGGTTTGCCTGTTTCTGGGCCCAACATCCTTCGCTTTCGGAGCAGATTTGGAGGATGTCTCGAGCGAGGCGCTCATTTCAGCACCCCTAAGGGGAGCCGCCAGGGGTGGTTGCACGGGCTCGTTCGCGGCCATTGTGTGGGGATGTCTCAGGCGGTTTGCCTGTTTCTGGGCCCAACATCCTTCGCTTTCGGAGCAGATTTTTGCTGGATGTCTCAGGCGGGGCGCTGGTTTCAGCACCCCTAAGGGGAGCCGCCAGGGGTGGTTGCACGGGCTCGTTCGCGGCCATTTTGTGGGGATGTCTCAGGCGGTTTGCTTGTTTCTGGGCCCAGCATCCTTCGTTGTCGGAGCAGATTTGGAGGATGTCTCGAGCGAGGCGCTCATTTTCACCCCCCAGGTGGGCCAGATTTTGAGGATGTCTCGATCGGTTTGCTTGTTTTGGTGGCCAGGCTCGTAGGCGCAGATTCTTTTCAGGATGCCACAGGAGGCTCCAACAGGCTCCAGGAGGCCCCAGGAGACCACATGAGGTCCCAGGAGGCATCAGGAGGCCACAGAAAGACTCAAGAGGCCACAGGATGTCCCAAGAGGCTCCAGGAGGCCCCAGGAAGCTCCAGAAGGCCTCAGGAAACCACAGGAGGCCCCAGGAGGCAACAGGAAGCGCCAGGAGGCCTCGGAAGGCAACAGGAGGCCCCGAGAGGCCCCAGGAGCAGGAGGCCTCAGAAGGCAACAGGAGTGGCTCCAATCCCATGTGTTTTACGTATGCTCCTATCGATTGGGCCTCACCTGGAGCACGATTCTTTGATGTTCTACGTATGTTTCTATAGATGGTCCTTCTCCTGTGTACACAATCCTAAATGTTTTACTCATGTTCCTATGTATTGGGCCTCTCCTGGGGCACGAGTCCTTGGTGTTTTACGCGTGTTCCTATAGATTGCCCTTCTCCTGTGGCTCTAATCCGCAATGTTTTATGTACGTCTGTTGCTATAGATTGCGCCTCTCCTGGGGCACGAAACCTTCCTAGGAGGTCCCAGGAGGTCCCAAGAGGCTCCTGGAGACCCCAGGAAGCCCCAGTAGGTTTCAGGAGGCCCCAGGAGGCCCCAGGCTCATGCACAGAGACGCGCTCGTACTACTGAGGCTCATTCACACTCCAATTCATTCGCAGTTAGATTGATGTCCAGACCGTCACAACTGAAGCCCGTTAATATTCGAAAGCTCTTGCGCCTAGACATTCACGGCGGACAGGTCCATGCGAGTAGATGCACATATGGGGAGCTCCACGCAGTTTTTTTTTGCTTTATCACATCGGGTTTATGTTCTAAGAACTGTGTTTTTTTGTCTTATGAGAACATTCTTGGGTTGTGAGAACATGTTGTAGTATAGGCCGATAGGAATGCCAGGACGGTCAGTCCCTGCTCAATTCATAGGAGTCTCGGGCGGCGACATGGAGACTTTTGGATTACATTCGGACCGCACTTGACCCTCGCGAGCGTACTCAGGAATTGGGGACAAAAGGGGGGTTGGGATGGGGTCTTATTTGAGCTGTCCTTGAGGTTTCGGGGGGGTCAGGGCAATAGGCCGCCCTTTCACGGCGGGTCTGGGAGCGGGGATTTGAAATGGCCGTTTGGAAGGTCTGTGACCCCCACCCCTTTCGTATGAAATCTGGAGTACTTCGTCCAATGTCTGTCCACGGGTCCAGGAGGGCCTGTGTCTTCTGGCCGTTGCCAGGGAGCCCGTCTGTAGCTGAGGTCGGCCGTGGCCAGAACAGCCCTTTCGTTCCTAATTGGGCCTTCCTCATGGCTGCACGATGACTGTACAGTCGGTGCGCTGAAGAAGGAACCCTTTTCGTTGTGGAGAGGCTCCGTGCTCCTTAATTGTTTCGCAGTTTGCCTCAGGGATTCCTTAACTGTTTTCGATGGGAAACCGAAGTTTAACTTGTGGGAAAAGGGGCCTCGTTCCTTACTTAGGATTCCTTCGGTCAACGCCCCCGACTGTACTTCGTCCGATGTCCGTTCACGGGAGCCGCGGGCGGCTTGAGGGCCCCTGCCCAGCCGCGCTCCTCGCGCGGCGCGACGCGCTGCGGCGGGCGGCGCCGCGGGCCGCGGCGGGCGCCCGCCGCAGCCCGCCGCGGCACGCCCGGACGCTGAAAAAGCACATGGAACCCGTACCCCCCCCCCCAACCCGGAATTCGGGTCAAATTCGACACGGCTCCCCTAATGATGTGGGCTCCTGGGGTGACCAGCGGAGTGGAGTTCCAACGAGGGCCAGGTTGAGACCTCGCAGCTCCCTGGGAGTTGGGTCGCGTGAAACTCACCACCCACCAAACCACCCCAACCCAACCCGAAGGCCCAAATTTATCATCGATTTCCAGTGGGGGGGGGGTCGGGGAACACTGAAAAAAACATGAAATCCGTCCCCCCCAACCCGGAATTCGGGTCAAATTCGGGTCTTCGGGTTCGGGTCTTCGGGTCTTCGGGTCCTGCTTCTCCCCTCCTCGTCCCCTTCCGCCGGACAGCACAGCCTGCCCGGAACCAGCGTGGCGGCATATAGGGACCTGACAAGTTGGTCCTTTCCCGCGGCAGCCGCCGCATGCGTCGCCAGAGAGTAAGCGCTCTGGCGGGGATTGCTTGCATTGATCCGCCATGTAGTCAGAATAAGGCGGAAGGATGTGATACTCAGGTCTACGAGCGTCGAGAACCGCAGTTTCGTTGATACATGTGGGTCAGGTCCCATCGACGCAGGTCCTCGGCGGTTCAGAGACCCTGGCAGCTTCGCGCCGTGGAGAAACTTGCGGCAACGTTGATTCTAGGCGCTTCGCGTAACCCCGCCAGCCCATGCAGAAGCGATGCCCAGGCGAGTTGTCTTGATCAGGCATGTGGGGGAGCACGGAGTGGAGTGAAGGCTGGGCAGCCGTCATACCCCAAGAGGGAGAGGATGGATGAGGAATCAGAGCAAGAGTAAGAGGGGGAGAGGGAGGGGGATGAAGGAGGACGGAGGAAGAATGAGGGATGGCTTCGTCCCGGCCTCGGACATCTTGAAGGCTTGAGGGTCGGACTCCACCTTGACGATGCTTGTGGGGAATCTTGAAGCCGCCCGCCTCCGTGTTCTTGCCGATGGGAACGCGCATTGTGCTTGAGCGTTCCCAGCAGATCGCGGCAAAGCCGTGCACCCCCGCCAGCGCCATTCGCCCGCCAACCCGCCGACCAACGCACACTGCTTTGACAAATCATTGTGGCTTGCCGCGGGCTCGGTGTTCTGCAGTGCGTAGAACAAAATCAGCGCCTGAGGCCTGCTTCCCAGCATTGGGTCGGGAGATCGCGCCGCATCGCCGATGCATCGGGCATGCGGCTCGACGTGGAGCCCGATCTTCTCCACGCGGACGTCGCCGCTGCCTCGTTGGCGTCGCCCATGCACCGCCGATGCATCGCTGCGAGATCTTCCGACCCCATATACTCCGACCCCATTTGGGAGGCCTCTATTCACGCGCATTCTCAAACCACATTTTTGACCCCCCAAAAAATCCCGATCAACTACTAAAGTGAGGCACGGGTTTATTATTTTGCGCCGCCGAATCAAAACCACGAAAAAAAACAACAGCCTGTTTACTAAATTAAAGAACGGGTTTTCTAAATCCCGGGCCGTGTATCTAAATCCCAGATTCTATTGTTACCATGACCTGAATGGCTCGATCATCGTCTGCCGTCGTCGTCCTCGCCCGGGTCGTTCGTCGTCGCCGTCGCTACTGCCGCCTGTGGCCGCCTCTGTCCCAACCTTGCCTGGACCTCGCGCCCTTGCTGGGCGAGCGCGTGGCCAGGAGTCCCACATCCTCGAGCCGTCGACTGCGGGGGCCAGAGCACTCTCTCCTATCTTTGGCCATCCCTTCCCCTACCTTGGCCCTCCCTTCCTATCTTTGGCCCTGTTCCCTATCTTTGGCCCTCCATTCCTATCTTTGGCCCTCTCTCCTATCTTTGGCCTATCTTTGGCCCTCCCTTGCCCTATCGGGGGGGGGAGCAATGTTGGAGGGGGAGATCGGCCCTGGCAGGCCCTAGAAAACACGGCCGTGCTTTCCCCTGCTCCGATGTGCCGCTGTTTTTCAGGAGGGAAACACAGACACAATTAATCGTCGACTTCCAGGAAAATATGGGAAACTATGGGAAGTGGGGGGGAAGACAAGAACCCAGAAAATATGGAAAAATACTGGGGGCCCAGTTATTTGTGTGTATTTGTGTGTCCCAGGGCCCCTTCAGTGCTGCCAGTTCCAGCGCCGTTTTTGCTACCGGTTCCGCCGCCGTTGTTTCCCAAGTCTTGATGATGATGTCCAAAGCAAGCGTTGTTGTTTCGCCCATCTCTGGGAGTACACGTTCTGCTCACTGCGTTCGAGTTCCAGGTGCAGTTCTGAAAGACATGCAAAACACCTTGTGATGTTGGAGATCTGCCCAGCAGTTGCCGCCACCAGTTTTGTACAATTGGTTGTTGGGCATCGTACCCATTTTTTGTGTACCCATGCAGGGTGTCCAAGGCCTTCTCTTCGGCGGCGAGCCCCTGGGGGAAGTGAGAAGGAATGAGAAGGCCTGCTCAGAAGGATCGGAAGCCCCTCGGCCTTCGGAGAAGGGTTCTAGGCCTTCCCCGAAGACAGCGAAAACCTCTCAGGTGGCCCCAAGGCCTTCTGAGAAGCTCCGAGAAGTCCCTCTCCTGCTCATTTCCTCCCTTCGCTCGCCGCCGATCTCTGACGGCCCCGCAGGACGATGCTGAGCTGCGCAAGATCGAGCTGCAGGCCGAGAAGGCGGGGAAGTCTGGCAAGAAGTCCCAGCCGCCCTTGCGTTCCGGGCGCGATTGTGTCGTGCAGACCACTTGGATCACCGCGGGGTTGCCTGAGGTGATGTCGGCCACGCGCAGAAGGGGTGTAGGGGGAGAAGGGAAGGCGCGGGCCTTGTCTGTAAAGATAGGGCCAGCGCCTTCTAAGGAGCGATCTCTTTCTAAGAAGGCTTCCGTTCTCCCTCTACCACCCTGTGCGCGCCGCCAACTAAGGGGATAGAGGGGTAAACTGTGGATGCGAATGTGGGTCATATCTCAGAGGAGGAAGCGATTCGGCGTCGAGCAAGGGGGGGGGGGGGCGTGAGAAGGAGAAGGCCTTCTCAGAAGGCGGCGGGGCTTCTCGGAACGCCTCGGGCCTGCTGAGACGTTTTCTGTGTCTTCGGGGAAGGCTTAGAACATTTCGCAGAAGGCCCGGGGGCTTCCGAGCCTTCCGAGAGGATGACGAAAATGATGAGAAGAAGGGCGAGGGGGAGGGAGGGGAGGAGGAACGACAGAGGGAGGAGGAAAGACGTGGGGCGCTGCGGATTCAAGACGACCCAAGAGCACACGAGGGTGGGGACACACGTTAAGAGCATCTGGTGTTGTCCCTCTTCAGGCCCTTTTCGGGGTCCTCTAGGGGCCCTCGTGAGGCGTTTTTCAGTGCCTCAGTGGAGCTATTGAAAGCATGCTGGCGGTATCTGGGGCCTCCTGGCGGCTTTTTGGATGCTCTATGGGGCCATCATGGCGCTTCCTTGGGCTGTCGTGGAGCCCTCTTGTGCCGCCTTGGGGCCCTCTTGAGGGCCACTTGGGCCATCTCGGGCCGATCTGGAAGACTCCTGATACCGCATGAGCGGTCGAAAGCCCGGAAAGGCCAGAAACGGTAAACAGTTGTCAAAAGCAGAATAAACATCGATCTGTTTTGCCCCGACCAAGCCCTCTTTGGGGTCCTCCTGGAGCCCTCTTAGAGGCCTCTCTTGCTCCTCCTCATTGCCGTCGCCTTTGTTGATCCTTCGGAGGAAGGTAAGACGACAAGAGGAGCAGACGACTGTGATAGAGAGAGAGAGAGATAACAGTACAAACCTGCAACCTTCCAATGAGAGGCTCCTGGGCAAAATGGGCAACAAAAACAGGCACCGTACAATGAAGTGTTCCTGGGCAAACCAGGAACTTGAGACCGAATGGTTGCAGGGCTTGTGGACCTTGGCCTATTAGCTTATGCATCAGGGCCGTTAGAAAAGTCGGAGTACCCATCTCTCGTTGAGAGATGCCGTTGTGGATTCCCCGATGCCAATCTGCCTTTGGCGCCTTTCTACTTGAATATACGGGTGGTCTACCAATCTAGGTTCAACGGTTGCCCATGCCTTGTGTCCGCCCACCTTTTCCGAACTGCGTGTAACCTTCAGCACATTCTACTTGTCTCAGCGCGGTCCTCAGGAGTGGCACTGGTCGAGCAGGGATCGACTACAGAATTGATTTGCCACAGAATGCATGTTTCTTGTCGAATGCACTGGCAATGCGTTGAACTTTCGCAGGTCTAGGAATGGTTGGCGTATTTTTGTTGAAGGGTCGACGTGACAATCCAGTTTGGGGTGACTCAATTCTGCAGTCGAGCCCTCAGTCGCGCTGGTCCGCGGGGCCCTCCAGGGAGACGGCCCACGGCAGGAGAGGCCCGAGCTCCACTCGTGGCAGAGGGCCAGCAGCGGAGGGCACGGGTATGATCAGGGCCAAAGCTGGGTTAGCGTTCAGTCGGGCCTGCCCCTCTGCAGGAGGAATCTTCAAACAACAGCAATTAGTAAAGCGCAGTCGGGGGGCTATTTTCTTGACGAGGTTTGGTCATGTGTCGGGCCTGTTGGGGGTCAATTTTTCACACGCAGTCCCCCATGTAGGGGGCACGTGCCCGGCTTGAGGTCTTCGGGCGAAGGGCGGTATGACATGGACCTGTCCGTCACCAGGGGGCGCTGCCCCGCCCCAGGGCGGCTGGCACGTTCACACCCTGACATGCCACCGTCAGGGCATGCGCAAGTTCCAGCCTCCTTGGGGCAGGCGCCCCCGACCGCGAGCACTCACCGGCCTCGAACGTATCCCTATCCCTGAGATTGACACGCCAAAAGGCGATGACAATCTTAGGGATGCGCCCTCAGAAACTGAGGGAATCCCTAAGATTGGCATTGCGATGAGGCGATGCCCAGCTTAGGGATAGGGGTATGTTCCAGGCTGGTAAAGTTCCCGCCTCGGGATGCGTTTCGGCAACTGCGCCTCTCCGAAAGGCGTCCAGTGGCGCCCCGATCTTCGTGAACTTCCGCTGCAGGCCCGAGGTATGACCCGAAAGCCAGCCGACGAGGATCATTGTTAGGGGGGCAGGCTCAGAGGGGGGTGGATCGACGCCCAAACGCGCGTTCATCCCCGCCGTGTGTCCGTAAAGCCCACACTGTCGCGCTGGCCGCGGCGTCGGCCGAGACAATCACGGCGACGGCGTCGGGAGGCGGCGGCGACGATGGCGTTGACGGCGGCGGTAAGCGGCGGCGATGGAGATGGCGGGCCGAGCGCCAGGTCGCGGCTCGCCTTCTCCAGGGTGGCGATCGCGGACGACGCTGGCGAGGTGCGCCACCCGCGCGGGTTCTACAGGATGGGGGGAGGGGGGCGAAACGCAGGGGGACCATTGTTCGCTGGACCTCTGGTGTTGCGTGGGTCCACCGTGATAGCCGGGGGGGCCGCCCCACGAGGCTCCGCCGTGCCCGAAGGCTGTAGGCTGTAGGGCCGCATCGTCAGGGCATCGGGTGGCGATGTGGTCTCGGCCCTGGGAGGATCGGGGGCCCGTGGGAGGGAGGAGGAACGGAGAAAGAAATAAAAAAACACTCCGTGGGGGCCAGGTTCGTCTATCACTTAGACATCCAAAGGCCCAGAGGTTATCCTCGAGGGGAGGATCCAAAACGCCTGGGGGACACTGGCCCCAAAGCTACACCGCGGTGCACCGCCCGGGGCCCCGACCCGAGCACGAGTTTTTCGAGTCTAGGCCCACGGAGAGGAGAAGGGAGGAGGAGGAGAGATGGAGGAATGAGAGGTGGAAAAAGGAGAGGTGGAAGGAGGACGGAGAAGGAGGGGTGAAGGAGAGAGGAAGGAGGAGGAGGACGACGGACGAAGGAGGATGCGAAGGGGGGAGGAGGAAGTAGGGGAGGAGGGAATCCAGTCGGACCGAGGTATAAGATCAGGTCGGTTCGGGGAGGGTACCTCAATATTCTTCGTGCCTCTTGGATGTTGTTTGTGCATCCTGGGGGAGGGCACCAGGGCACCCTCGAATGTCCTTCTCTTTGGGCTGGCAGAGGGTCTCATGTTCTTGAAGGATGTTATGAAGTCCCAGGTCTGACTGCAAGAGAGAGAGGAGAAGGGTGGCCGAGGAGCAGGGGTAGGAGGGCCAGAGTAAGCGCGCGGAGTATCGATGCTGCAATCTTGCCTCCCGTCCCAAGTTTATTCTCCACATGTCCCTACGCCGTCCCTCTCATTGCAAGGGACGCCTTCAGAAAGAGGAGTGCCCTGCAAGAGCCCCGTTCTGAGAATGAACTGCGGTGCTTCCTTCCAGCTACTTTTTTCTAATGCCACAAAGTAGGATGATAAAGCTCGAATTTGAACGCTTCTTTTCTACCCCCCTTCTAGTCCATCCCCTCGTCCGCTGTTCTGTTCCTGTCCACGCCGCATCCTGCATTCAGTCCGTCTGCCCTTCAGCTTCCTCGCCCTCACCGTCCTCGCCTTCCTCCTCTTGTTCGTCCTCATCGTCGTGATCGGCAGCAGCACCAGCATCCATGCCCCTCCATTTATCGCGCTCGCATGCCCATGCTTGCCCCTCTCTCCACCTTCTCCCCCCTCTCTTGGACTTGGCATCGCTCGGACGTGTGCATTTTTCCTTTGGCGAGGACCATCGAGGAGCATCCTTGATCATTTGGCGAAAAAGCCACACACGAAACCAAACATACACAGACAATGGACGTCCGAGCGATGGCCAGACGCGGATTCCTTGAATCGGCGCTGGGCCCCCCTGGCGGCGCCTCCCAAGCCGCATCTGGCGCGCTCCGCGCGCCGATGAGGGGGCTTCAGCGCCGACCCAAGAAATCGGCGCGGACCTCCGGCAATACAGTCGGGGCCCTGAAGAAGGAACCCTTTTCGTTGGGGAGGGGCTCGGTGTTCCTTGATTGTTCTGCAGTTTGCCTTTTGTTTTCCTTATGTTTTCGATCGGACATCGAAGTTCAACTTATGGGAGAAAGGGGCCCCGTTCCTTATTTGGGGTTCCTTAGGTCAGCGCCCCGACTGTACCTGTTAATGGTATTTACCCGTAAGGGCTTCGACCCCCGCCGCCGGCCCCCTTTTTCGGAGAATGGGCAACGCAAGAGCGAAGTCATGAGGCCTTGGCGCCGCGGTGAACCAGCGTCAGGACTTCACGCGAAGACGATGAGTAATCGGCAAGACACATTGAGATTCTGATGACATTGTTGAATTCGGTGTTATATTTCGAGCTTGCTTGCGTATGCTGTGCAAATAAGCTTTTCTATGAAGTATTGAAATGTTGCAGATATCATATGTTTTTTTGACCCTGACCCCGCCGATCTGCAAGAGGGGCGACACCGAATTTCAGAAATGTGGCAAATCCCTTGTGGTTTTGGACCCTGACCCCCGCGATCTGCGTGAAGGGTGCCGCCGAATTTCAGAATTGTGGCTGCTGAGTGGTTTTGGACCCTGACCCCGCCGATCTGCGCGATGGGCGCCGCCGAATTTTAGAAATGTTGCAGCAAATCCTGCGTGTTTTTTGACCCTGACCCCAGCGATCTGCGTGAGGGGTGTCAATTTCGACCCCCGCAGAATTTCTGAACAGTCAGCAGCAAGAAGCAGAACTGGAACAGTGGAAACTAGAAACTGGATCTGGCGCAGAGAACAGCAAACCCTAGCCCTACAGCCTGGTGGTCCCGCAAGGGGGCCGGTGGATGTCTTGTTCATAAATCGACTAGGCGTAAGAGTGGCTTTTCGCCGGAGTGACCTTTGGTGCGGGCACAGATGGGTCCCCAGATGGTTGAAAACGAGGCAGTCGCAGCTGCTTGCGCGCCCAGGTTCAGTCCCCCCGCGGCTCCCAAAAAGTCGCGCACCAAAGGTCACTCTTTCCCAGGGTCACTCCTGCGTGTAGCCGAATAAATGCCCCCTTCATCTCAACCTCTCTCTCTCTCTCTTTTGTTTGTTCTCTCTCTCTCTCTCTCGCTCTCTCTCTCTCTCTCTCTCCTCTCCTCACGGACTCCCTGGAATGCCCCGCGCCCGCGCCGCAGTCTTTCGTTACCAAGGACCTCTTCAAGCTCCTCGGGGTGACCGAGGTGTCCGCTTGGGGGGCAGGAGGATCAGAGGCAACATTGGGGGGGTACGGTAGGATCAGGGGTGGAGGCATCGACCCTCAAGCGCCCACACGTGGCCCGACAGCCAACACCCCGCCCAAGAAGGTGCAGACCCGCTGTCGAGAGCCGTCTCGAGTGTCCATCTCCGTCGTGTCGCCCATTCCAGTTCCCCTCAGGGACGTCTGACGAATCAAACATCTACCTCTGTCGTATCTCTGTCGATGGTTCCCCGCCTGAGCCAGTTCCCCTCAGGGACGAAGGAGTGCGGACAGGAGGGAGTCACTTCGGCAGGCAGCGGATGAGGAGAACGACCAGAGGTAGGAAGGGAACAGAGGGATGAGGATGGAGAGCGGGAGTGCGGGAGGGTGAGCAGAACGAGAAGGAGGATGAGTACAGAGGATAACGTCCCACGAGATGTCTGTCTTTACGTCTCTACGTTTTGACATATCTCGCTACCTCAGAATATCAGAAGTTCTGGAAGTTCTCTACATGTTTGTCTCTCGGGCTTCTCCCTCTCTCTGCCCGTCCCTCCGCAGAACCACCCGGACCCCCAACCGTTGCCAAGACCTGCCTCGACGTCCACACCGGCTTGCCATCGACCTCCTTTTTCAGAACGGGGGCTGTTAGTTGGCCTCCATTTCTCTGGCCCGCTGGCCTGTCGCGACGGCAACCGCCAGACAGCATCCTCTCTGCGCTGACCGTCCTCGCGTTTATCCGTTCCCCCCGCCGCCACCCCGACATCAGATGCTCGCTTCGGGGACCTTCCTGGGGCCCACCTGACAGGATCTGTTCGACCCCAGCTCGATTCTGGCTCGACTCTAGCCGGACTCCATTTCGACTCGAGTCGATGGACGATCGACGCAGTATCGACACACGAGCGGAGCGAGCGGCTAGAGTAGGTCTCCCGCCCAGCCAAAATCCACCGAATATCGGTTCCCGAACCCCTCCCAGAGTCCATCCTGACCCTTTTTTTTGACGCGGACCAAGGCTTAGGACGGGGCGAGGACGAGGATCCACTCCGTTCCGGAGCGCTCTAAGATGGCCGCGGCGCCCGATGCGTCCTCCAGAGCAGATGGATCTCAGAGTTTCCCGATGTGCTCTCTTCCGAATGTATATCCTCGTCCTGGCGTCGTCTTCGGCACGACCAAACGGATCCCACGGACGTCGCCATACAGTCGGGGCCCTGAATAAGGAACCCTTTTCGTTTGGGAGGGGCTCGGTGTTCCTTGCTTGTTCTGCAGTTTGCCTTCAGTTTTCCTGAGGTTTCCCATGGGAAATCGAAGTTCAACTTATGGGAGAAAGGGGCCCCGTTCCTTATTTGGGGTTCCCTAGGTCAGCGCCCCGACGGTATCATCGACCGGCCCTCCTCCGAGGGAAAGAGCGCTGCGAGCCCTGGCCGAGGGGCCCGCGCGACGGGAGCGCGCGCGGCGCGGTGCGGCCGCCCGAGGACGCGGACTCCAAGGAGGTCAAGAGTAAGTTCCGCTGCCGAGTCGGGGGGCGTGTGTGTGTGTGTGTGTGTGTGTGTGTGTGTGTGTGTGTGTGTGTCGTGTGTGTCGTGTGTGTCGTGTGTGTGTATGTGTGTCGTGTGTCGTGTGTCGTGTGTCGTGTGCTGTGTGCTGTGTGTCGTGTGCTGTGTGCTGTGTGCCGTGTGCCGTGTGCTGTGTGCTGTGTGTGTGAGCTTGAGTGTGAGTGTGTGTGTGTGTGTGTTGTGCGCGTGTGCGTGTGCGTGTGCGTGTGCGTGTGAAAGTGCGAAGGTGTGTGTGTGTGGTGTGCGCGTGTGCGTGTGCGTGTGCGTGCGCGTGTGAAAGTGCGAAGGTGTGTGTGTGTGTGTGTGTGTCGTGTGTTGTGTGTTGTGTGTTGTGTGTTGTGTGTTGTGTGTGTGCGTGTGTGCATATGTGTGGGCGTGTGCTTGTGTGTCCTTGTGTGTGCGTGTGCGTGTGCGTGTGTGTGTGTGTGTCAGCACCAACAGCAGTTGCACCGCGAACGACTACAACTGCACCCGACCGACTCCAACAGCACCGCCGTCAATTCCAGCCGCACCACGACCAACCAGCGACTGACTCCAGCAGCACCAGTACGACTCCAGCAGCATCAACACTAACCCCAGCTGCACCGCGACAGACTCCAGAAACACCTGACCAACACCAACTGCACTGTCACCAACTCCAGCGGCACCACGACCAACCAGCGACCCACTCCAGCAACACCAGTGCGACTCCAGCAGCATCAGCACCTGGCCCATGTGCACCGCGACCGACTCCAGCAGCGCCGGACCGGCACCAGCAACACCTCCAACTCCAGCAGCACCACGACCAACCAGCGACCCATTCCAGCAGCACCAGTGCGATTGCAGCAGCATCAACACCAGCCCCAGCTGCACCGCGACAGACTCCAGAAGCACCTGACCAACACCAACGGCACTGCCACCAGCTCCAGCAGCACCACGACCAACCAGCGACCCACTCCAGCAGAACCAGTGTGACTCCAGCAGCACAAACACCAACCCAAGCTGCACCGCGACCGACTCCAGTTGTACCTGACCGACGCAGTAGCACCGCCACCAACTCCAGCGCCGCGACCAACCAGCGACCCATTCCAGCAGCACCAGTGCGACTCCAGCTGCATCCGCGGCGGGAGGAGCGATGAGGGAAGTCAGTGGCGTCGTGGAGGGTGACGGCATGACGTGGAGGGAAGGCACAGTGGCGGCTTCCGACCACAGGGCGAGGCGGAGGAGGAGCAGGAGCAGGAGGAGGTTGAGGAGGAGCACTACGACCAACCCCCGACCCAACCCTGCAGCACCAGTGCGACTCCAGGAGGACCAACACCAGCCACAGATGCTCCACAGCCGACTCCAGGTACGCTTGACCGACGCCAGCTGCACCAGCACCAACTCCACTGACCTCAGCAGCGCTAGACCGGCTTCAACAGCACCACCGCCAACTCGAGCAGCACCGCGACCAACCGGCGGCCTACTCCAGCAGCGGCAGTGCGACTCCAGCAGCACCAACTCCAACCCCAGCTGCACCCGACCGACTCCAGCAGCACGTGGCCGACACCAGCAGTACCACCACTAACTCCAGCAGCACCACGACCAACCACCGACCCACTCAGGCAGCACCAGTGCGACTCCAGCAGCATCAACACCAACCACAGCTGCACCACGGCCGACTCCAGCAGCACTTGACAAAGGCCAACAACACCACCAATAATTCCAGCAGCACCGCGACCAACCAGCGAGCCACTCGAGCAGCCTTCAGCAGCTCCAACGCTGCGACGAGCACGTGCGAGAAGGGCCAATAATCGAAGCGGGTTGTGACGGCAGTGCCAGAACGGTGGGGGGAGCGAGGGGAGATGGCAGTGGCAGCGGCAGTGGCTGCACGGTGGGACGAGCCAGGAGGGACGGCAGTGGCGGCGTGGAGGGTGACGGCAGGGAGGGAAATGGCAGCGTGGTCGAGGAGCATGGCGGCGTGGAGGGTGGCGGCATGACGTGGAGGGAAGGCAGTGGCGGCGTGGCTGGGGACCAGGAGTTGGGAGGAGGGAGGGGCGGCAGTGGCAGCGTGGTGGGAGGTGGAGCGGAGCACGGCAGTTGAGGTGGGGAGTGGAGCATGCGAGAAGGGCCAGCGGGGGAGTGTGGAGGGGCGGCAGTGGCAGCGGCAGTTACGGCGGCGACGGCGGCGTTGGAGCAGCAGTGGCAGCCGGCCCTCGGTCTGCTCAGCGAGATGCTGGGATCGAAGCTGGAGCCCGCTATCATCCATGCGCAGGAGGCAGAGATATGAATTTAGAAGGTTGGGATTTAAGTTGGAGCGTGGCCCGGATGCTCCGCCTCGCCTCTCGCAATTCCGTGCGCCTTCTGGCCAGCCCGGGCTGCTTTGAAGAGAGCGGCGCGAGGAACAGCAGACTGTCTTTGGTTCGCGTCGACCTTGGACAAAAGAACAAACATATCAAAAGGAGGAGAAACAAAAAAAACAAGTTCTGCTGCCCCACTTCGAAGTGGGCCCTGCCACCGTGGGCTAATCTTGCCTGCCGCCCACTCGTGGCCTCCGGGCCGCCCCTCTCTGCCTGCCTCTGGGTGCCCTGCCCCGCCGCCCGCCCCCTGCTTCCTGGGGCGTCGGCCTTCTGCTGGTTTTGTCCAGGCTTATGTGGGGCGTGTCCCCCTACAGGGGAATTGTCGACAAAAATAATAAATACCCCAAAAAGGTCAAAAAATATTCAAAAGTAGTCCCCATATCATTTTTAGATTATGTTTTGATTATTTTTGAGGGTATTTGTTATTTTTCGTCGAAAACCCCCCTGTAGGGGGACAGGCCCGACTGAAGTCCGGGCGCTGCCTCTGGCACCCCGCTGGCCCTTTGCCGTGCTTCGCCGGCCGGGCGGCACTCGCTGCGTTGCCGGTGTCCTGCCCCTCGGCTTGGTTCTCTGGCCTCCCCCCCCCCCCACTCCGGCTGCGGGTGCCCTTGCCCCCCCTCTGTGCCGCCGCTCGGGGGCGGAAAAGAGGGGGGTGATGACTAGGGGTGGGTGGATATCACGGCGTGGGCCATGATGTGTTCCCAGATTTCATGGCGCCTCCTCTCATTTCATTGCGTCCCTGGCCCCCCCGCTGGGCCGCGCACGTGCCGCCGGTCATGATTTGCACCCCCCCCTCTTGGACACCCCCCTCTTGGCCGCTCCCGAGCCGCCTTCCCGCGGGCTGCCTCCTTCAGCTCCTGCTCGGCGCAGCTCGGCGCAGCGCCGCGCCGGCGCCGGTCCTTCCCCTCGGCGCCCGCTCCCTCGCGGCGCCTGCGTGCCTTTCCCGCCTCCGACCTCTCGACGGCCCGCGCCTCGTGGGCCCGCGGGTCTCGGCGCACTCGCCCACCCCCGGACCGCGCTGTTGTTCACTGGGTCGGGTCTCTGTTGCTCGAAGTCCCCGGAGGCAGTGCCCTCTTCGATCCGATCGATGCGATTCGATGTGGCTTCTGGCCGGACCGATCCCGCGCGCGAGTCCGATATTCCGACGATCCGATGCAACCCGATGTTCGTGCGGCGTCGTTTTGCATTTTTCAGGAGGGGAAAGAAACACACAGACACAATTAATCGTCGACTCCCCAGAAAGTATGGGGAAATATGGGAAGTGGTGGGGAAGACAAAGACCCAGGAAATATAGGAAAATATTGGGGATCTTATTATTTGTGCGCATTTGTGTGTCCCAGGGCCCCTTCAGTTGCGCTGCGTTTCTCCCCCGCCAGCCGCCCAGTCTGCTGGGCTGCTTCCCACGCATCCTCAGCTCAGCGCAGCTCAGTGCCGGCGCTGGTCCCCCCCCTCCTCGGCGCCCCCCCCCGCCGCAGCCGGCAGCTCCGAGTGGCCCGGCTGCCTCTCCCCTTGTCGCGCCGGGGCTCCTCCTCCTCCGCGCATTGCAGCTTCACTTTGCATAGAGCGTGTCCCCTGTTGCCAATCCAGAGCTGTCGCTCTCTGCCCAGCCGCCGACGCAAAAAGTGTGTGTGTGTGTGTGTGTGTGTGTCTGTGTGTGTGCGTGGTTGTGTGTGTGAATGCGTGTGTGTGTGTATGTGTGTGTGTGTCTGTGTGTGTGCGTGGTTGTGTGTGTGAATGCGTGTGTGTGTGTATGTGCGTGTGTGTGTGTGTTTGTGTGTGTGCGTGTGGGTGCGTGGGTGCGTGGGTGTGTGGGTGTGTGGTTTGTGTGCGTGGGTGCGTGCGTGTGTTGGTGCGTGTGTGCGTGTGTGCGTGTGTGCGTGAGTGCGCGCGTGCATGTGTATGTTTGTGTGATGGCCGGCAGTTGCCGCTGGCTCCATGTGGCCTTGAGGGTTCGGCAGCTCTAAACGCGTTCGCGCGACTGGTGCTTTGGATTTTCTCCGCCCTGTCGTTGCGGGCAGGGCCGCGACGCCAAAAAACGCATGTGTGTGCGTGTGTGCGTGTGTGCGCGCGTGCCCTCTCTCACCGCCTTCCTCTCTGCTTCCCTATCGCTTCCGGCGTTGCCGCCGAATTTCTATTGGATTCAGAGGAGAACCTTTTTTTATCGTGCGCATCGTACGGATTTCGGGTATGCAGGGCTGGTTCTCTTACTCTTACCTCCCTCATGCAGAGCGTCGTCGGGAAAGGCATGCGTTGCTTCTCCCCCGAAGGAGGATATTACACCCCTTGACTGGCGTTAGCTAAGAGTTTTTTTTGGGTTCCGGCCAGTTGCCTTGCCTCGACGGGGGGGGCGTCGTGATGCCCGAAAAATAATCAGAATCTTGCTCAATTGGGGGCGCCTTTGCACGCCTATGTGGCTCAGCGCTGCTTAAAAAAGAGACGACATATGGAGGTAAATGCAGTGAAAAGCAAGTGAACGTGCAGACGCCACATAAAAGAACTCGCTATGCAGCCGCTGGCGTTGACTGAACATTCCTGCCGAGTTCGATGCCTTCCTTACCCCGGGGGCGTTTATCGAAGGGCTTCGCATGCAGTGGCGTTCGCAATGAGACTGGCTCCTCTGACCTCCATGT